TAATGCACAGATCCATCCCTAGCATATCTGAGACAGCTGATGTCCTCAATCAAATGTGACAACTGAGGATGTAGCCAAAAGAACGCATTGAGTCAGGTGACCCCCCGGGCAGTGTGGACCCCATCATAGAGAGCTAAATGGGCTTTATGCTCTGGGCTCAACAGGACTTGTAGGAGCTTTTTTAAGATTCCCAGGAAGGAGACTGAAGCCTTGCAAATGGAAAATGGGATGGAGAAACAGGAGCCATGTAGACATTGGCGTACAGTTCTTAAGTCTGCAATAAATAATAACAGCTCTATCTACACTGCCAGGTCCCAGAAGGTTCCAAGTCTTCTGAATGTCCCAGGGGCCTCTCCTTCCAACCTTCAGGAAGCTTTTACACCAAGATGATTCAGTCCTCCCTTTATGAAGGCAGCACAAACTCAGCTTCTTCTTAAGAAGAGGCAGGAAATTGGGGATTCTCTAAGGGCACTTTTAGAAAATTGAACATAGAACCTTTTATCAGTAAATGCATAGTCGGCTTTAGCTCTCACATTCATCAGAAGTACTTCAGGGAGAGAAAATTAATGATAATCCTAAGTACACAATGACTTGCTGGAGACCAGAAGCCTCCACTCTGATGGGTCTGACTGTAGCTTTGCCCCCAGAGTAATGAAAGATGCCGCCTGTGAGCTTGACCTTGGCTTGGTTCATGCTTCAGAGTAAAGCGCTGCAAAGTTGCTAGGGCTGCGTAATCTCTTTCCTGGTGACTGAAAGCAACTTAGATTGGGACCATTGGGAATAGTGTTGTACTTGGTTATTTTAAAAAAGACAGAAAGAAACTCTTTGCTTTCAATATTTCTTGCCAGTGTAAACATAAAAGCTCACAGGGCCCCTAGGAGAGCAGTACACAGAGCACAGAAAAGCAAGTTATTGTGCAAAAAAAAAAAAAAAAAAAAAAAAAAAAAAAAAAAAAAAAAAAAAAAAAAAAAAAAAAAAAAAAAAAAAAAAAAAAAAAAAAAAAAAAAAAAAAAAAAATTAGACAAGGGTGCAGCCTTCCTATTAAAAGCACATTGGTTCAGTAGTACAGCTAAAGACAGAAACCAACCATACCCAGCCTAGTGTGTCAGTGAAACTGATGCTTTGTACTTTTCAGAACATGAATTGTGCGACTATTACCCAGCACGACATTTAAAAGTGGCTTTGCAATGTCCTGCCTTTCTCCTCAATGCTGACATGAGGAGTGATTGCTTTAATTCACTCCTGGGTACCTAGAAATTGGTTGTGTGGTTACTGTTCCCAGTAGAAGGTGTCCAGGTTCTTGGCATCTCAAAGAATTGATTTGGACAAAATGCACAAACAAAGCAAGGAAAGCAAAATTAGAGATTTATTGAGAACGAAAGTACACTCCACAGTGTGGGAGCGGGCTCAAGCGGAGAGGCTCAAGAGCCTAGTTACAGAATTTTCGGAGTTTCAATACTCTAGAGGTTTCTGGTTGGTTACTCGGCGAATTTTTTTTTTTTTTTTCTTGAGACAGAGTTTTGTTCTGTCTCCCTGGCTGGAGTGCATTGGCACGATCTTAGCTCACAGAAACCTCTACCTCCCATGTTCAAGCAATTCTTGTGTCTCAGCCTCCAGAGTAGCTGGGACTACAGGCAAGTGCCACCATGCTCGGCTAATTTTTGTATTTTTAGTAGAGACAGGGTTTTACCAGGTTGGCCAGGCTGGTCTTGAACTCCTGACCTCAGGTGATCTGCCTGCCTTGGCCTCCCGAAGTTCTGGGTTTACTGGCTTGAGCCACCAACCTGGCTGCTTGGTGAATATTCTGTGTAAATGAAGAGAATGAAGTGAAGTCACAGAGTCGTTTACTTAGAATGTGCCCTATTGTAAATGGAGAGGCTGTTACTTGGAGTGTGTGGTCTATGTAGATAGAGAGGATGAATGTGAAGTTACAAAGTGTAAATGGCGTGAATGGAGAGAAGGAAGTGAAGTTACAAAGCTATTCACATTCCTGTCATTGCTGAAGTGCTTTCATTTGATTTAGTTCTAGGAACTAAAGGTGTGGATGGGCTTTATGTTCCCTGCCTCCAGGCCCTATTCTCTTGCCTCAGTTATCACGCATTAGACTTTAAGTAAGTTGTTGTTTTTCTTTTTTTAATTCTCACTAAGGTGTAAATGTCTGATATCAGAGTTTGTTTTTGAAATTGGAGAGGAAAAGGGGGAAGATGCCTGTGTCTCACCAGGCCCCTGAAACAGGAGCAAGAGCTTGGTGGAATCCTTGGAAATTGTTTAAAGGGGAAACTGGAGGCAGGTAGAAGGCTTCACAGTTCTGTTAAAGTGGCCCTCACTGAGGTGTTGTGCTACAAAGAAAAGACCTTGGGCATAACAAAGCCACATCCCAGATAGCCTGCAGCACACTCCTGTTGCTGGAGGTGGTGACTCACTATGACTATCCTTCCAGTTTCTGCTGGGCAGCTAGGCTGGGCCATTTAATGTTCATCATTAATTACTGTTGTCTGCATTCTTGTCATTAGAATACCAACAGGTTTATAATGAGCCTGAGTTTTTTATGCTGAGATCAAAGGCAAACCAGTTTGGAGATGGTGGGCAGAGGGGTAGGAGAGAGGAGAGTTGAGTAAAGGGTGTGTCTGGGATTTCCACTGCAGGGCAGGGTTGACCCCGCTGTGGCACAGAGACACCAATGGGTTGTTCAGCAGCTGAGGCACCAGCTTCCTCAGAGTCACTCTTGCCAAGAGTCAGAGGGTGGCTTTTTCTGGAGCCTCACAATGCAGGCCGCTTACTCCTTCCAAGGGCATGAGGCCTCTGAGGTTAGAGAACCAGCATTTCACAGAAGGTAAGGAGAGGGGAATGATAGAGACTTGACTTCCTCAGAGTCTGTGAAGTCCAGTGGCCAGATGAGTGGGAAGTCCTCTGATCCACAGCCCTTGCCCTTGTAGCATGACGAGCCTCACACAAAACCTCTCAGACACTGAGTTGAAGAAGGAAGGGCTTTATTCAGCTGGTAGCATCGGCAAGCTACTGCCTTAAAATCCGAGCTCCCCAAGTGCACAATTTCTGTCCCTTTTAAGGGTTCACAACACTAAAGATTTCACATGAAAGGGTTGTGATTGATTTGAGCAAGCAGGGGGTATGTGACAGGGGCTGCATGCACTGGTGGTCAGAGTGAAACACAACAGGGCAGAGAGTTGCACAATGTTCTTCTATACAATGTCAGGAACATCGGTTTCTAAGTCATGAGTTGATTTTTAACTACTGGGTTTAGGCCAGGCAGACCCAGGCCTGGTTCCGGGCGTGGCGCTGGGCTGCTTGTCTTTGGTTTCACTTTATTGTTTTTTCTTAAAACAGGTACTGAGTATAAAACAATATGAGAGGGTCTCTCTCTTTCCTCATTTCCCCCCTTTTGAGACTCTCACTTTTTATTAGTGGGAGTTCTCACTCTTATTTTTGCTACTTATGTCTTTTTGTGTAATAGACTGATAGTGATTCATACAGTACACTTGTGCTGAAGCATTTTGGTGAACTAAGGTAGCGATGAAGCTTTTTTATCATTTGAAGAAGTACAGGGAGCAAACAAGAGAGCAGTAAGCAGATTTTTATTACTATTATAGCTTTTATTATAAGAGTTTTAAATCTTCCTACTGCTGGGAACTAATTTTTAAACATGGCTTCAGGGTCGAATTCATGCTACACTTGTACAGGCACATGTGACTATGTCTTTAACTACTTGCCTTTGATTATCTATGTGTAGACAGTAATTAGTAAGGTTAAATTTCTTATAGACCTCTCTTTCAGCTGCTAGCAAGTAGTCAAGAGCCAATCTATTTTGATAGATAGCATTTCTTATCTGAGTTTTT